TAGAAATGGTTTCCTCATGAAGAAACCAGGTCTTCTCTTGACCCAATGCACCAAGAAACCTTGAAATCGTCATTGGGGAGAAACCACTAGTTTCTAGGGGGCTCGTGCTGCACTCCTATTGGAGGAAGAAGATAGAGTTGGGAGAGAGAAAGAGAAAATAATTATTACTCATAGAAACCATGGGTTGGAAAGCAGTACTTTTTTGGTGCGGTATCCTATATCATAGAAACTACTAGTTTCTTTCATTGAGACTGCCCTCAATGCACTACTGGGAACGGGAGCTTTGCCGCACCGGGAGCTTTGCCTGCGGCAAAGCCACAAATACACTCGGTAAAGGGCACTCGGCAAAAATTTCATCGGCAAACTAACTTTGCCGAGTGTTTTTCGTCGGGCACTCGGCAAAGACGTTGCCGAGTGCCCAAAAAACACTCGGCAAATTTTTTTTTCAAAAAAAATAAAAAAAACAAGCACCTGCCGGCCACCACCACTGGGCGCTCCAACCACTGGCGTGCACACGAGGAACTTCACCGAAGCCGATGTTGGCCGCCGACCCGAAGCCAACACCACCCTCTGTCCTGGATCCGCCGTCGCCGCCGTCCTGGATCTACCGTTGCCGGATCCGCACCTGGACGAGCCGAGCGGCCCGCCGCCACCGGATATGCACCTGGACGCGTCGAGCGGCCAGCCGCCGCTGGATCTCGCCCGCGCGTTGCCGGAGGTGGAGGAGGTTGGCCCTCGAGCGCTTCTAGGGCCTACCGACGGAGCCCGCTCGACCCTCATGCACCACCTCCACTGGACCTCCTCGCAGATCCGCCCTCGCCGCCCCTCCTCGCAGATCCGCCCTTGCCGTACCTCCACCACGTAGACCCGCTTGAGCGCTGCTGCCTTGGAGTCGCCAGGACACGAGGAGCCCCGCCGGCGACGGGCGAGCTAGGCCTCTGCCCCAGCTAGTGAGCGCCCCAACTGGATCCGCCGGTTGTGCGACGAGGGAGGGAGGAGAGGCGCCACCGAGAGAGGGAGTGGGAGGCCGGAGTGGAAAGGGAGAGGGAGGCCGGAGTGGAGAGGGAGAGGCGCCACCGAGAGAGGGAGTGGGGGCCGGCCGCTGGCAGCGGCGGTCCGGGAGGGGAAGGGTGTGTGGGGTGCTCGGGTGGGGACTGGGGAGGGGCGCTAGGGAGGGGACGGGAGGGGAGGGTATTTGACGAGATTTTTTATGTTTGCCGAGTGTTTGATGTGTACACTCGGCAAAGTTTCCAGAAAAAAGATTATTTAATTGTTTGCCGAGTGTTTTAGATCTGAGCACTCCGCAAAGTTTGTTTTTTAATTTTTTTTCTTTTTTTTCCAGAAAAAATATTTTATTTCTTTGCCAAGTGTTCTAGATCTGAGCACTCGGCAAAGTTTTTTTTCCCATTTTTTTATTCTTCTTCTTTTAAAAAAAATGATTTTTATTTCTTTGCCGAGTGTTTTTAGCTCAGCATACGGCAAAGAGCTTCTTTGCCGAGTGTCCGAGAGAATGCACTCAGCAAACATAAAAGCACTCGGCAAAGAGCCAGTTTCGGTAGTGATGAAACATGTCCACTCCCCCCCCAGTAAAGACCTAAAGCAATGAAAGTTCATTTGAACCTTGCTACTTAAACTTATATATTTTCCGAATGAAGGTACCAGATTAATTTTTCCTGATAAAGAGATTAATGTAATAGGACATTTGATTTGATTTGAACAAATGTTGGCCCAAAAATTTGAGAAAAAAAAAAAAAAAGGAAATGGCTGGCCACCACACAAGGTTTTGAAATATCAACCAGTTATTAAAATACCGAAACTAGCTTACAAACGTAGATTTCTGGTTATAGCCGTTCATGTGTATTTTGCATTGGTGTTGATTCTGATACTAAAAATTTAGCAAAAAACATTTCTGTTAGCCTGTGCTGCCTAAAAGTGAGCGGTGGCCGGGTGAGTGCACGTTGGTGTGTGTAATGAACGAAATTATTAAGGGATTGCATGAACTATTAGCAAGTTGGACTGCGGTGTGAAGGTTATTCAGGTGCATTGCATGAGATTGTTACTCCTGGAAGTAAGCTTTAAGCTCCTGGAAGTGATGTACCGACGCGATCCACTTGAAACAAAAGCATGAATGATTAGTAATAACAATCAAAGATATACACAATTGTCATACTGCTTTTTTCTATCCTTCCAAAAAAATTAAATAACGACACATCTTTAAAACTGTTATAAATTGATGGGACAATATATGTTAGGACACTAACATATTTAATTTTATATAATGATGAAGCTAAGTGAGCCAGATGGCCCTATCATAGGCATGAAGGCTACCGCACATATATATAAAATAATAATTCAGAAGAAATCGATAATGACTCAATATAATTAAAATGATGACTAGCTAGCTCCATGCCTCCATCATCCATTTATGTAGATTCTATTTCTTTATACACACAATGCAAGACGGCAGAAAGAATTTAGCAATATGAGAAACCAGAAAAAGAGGGAAAGGTGAAAAGAATACTAATAAGAGCGGTGAAGAAAGAAGATACACATATGTTAACACCAAATAAATGCACAAGTGAACGAAGATATATGTTTAGCTGCTCCTCTTGTTCATGTTAATTTCGGCCCTGTTCAGCTGGCTGGAAAAACGGCTGATGCTGACGCTGATTTGTTGTGAGAGAAAAACACTATTATTTCGCTGAAACGGTCTCAAGCGAACAGGGCCCTTCTTTATTCATCATGCCTGCTGCTCCCTCCTGCAAAGTGCAAGCTATTTGCATGCATTTTGTTTCTCTTCACCATTTGCTGCTCCCCTCCTCCCTGCGCTGCAGCACAACATGCATGCTTCTCTCTGCTGTTTCTGTCTACCTCTACTACCCCCGTCTCTCCACCTTCCCACCATTAATTTCTCTGTGTTACACTGATCCATATGATGAGTATCTGTCCCCATTTCCTACCACTCCTTCTGTCTTGCATTTATTTGGCTCTAACTCTTGAGGAAGAAAGGCAACTGATCATGAGGAACCTGACAGGGCATAATTCCAGGTGAATGATATGTCAGCAAGTGTGATTCAATGGGTGATAAACAGTGTTTGATACATCATGTTCATGATTCTTATAGTAAGATGTCCAGCGGGGAGGATAGAAAGAGGGATATTGAATTTATGCACTAGAAGTTCAGAACACAAAAGAGTCATAGGTATGCATGTACAGATTAAGTGCAAACATAGAAGATCATTGCGTGTGATCTAGACTCTAGAGATTAAAAATGTAAGAGTTGGTTACTTGTGTTTCCTAATCATGCATCAAACTGTTGTGCCTTTCAAGTCATGCTTAGTGAATGTAACTAGCTAGCACTGCTATCAATAACTGTTTAAGCAACCAAGAGATATTATTACTGAACAACTAGGCAGATTCATTGCACCTTTAATTTCAGTGATCAATTATTAAAAAAAAAAACTTGACTCGCCATGGGTATGACCCTCCCCCCAAAGGCATTGCTTTTAAAGTAGAAAGCAACCAACCTTCCTAGCCAAGAAAATTCACAAACCCCGACCCCTGCTTTGCTAGCGAGTTTTTTTTTTAACCAGCATAAATTTGTTCCCACCGGGAATCATACATAGGACCTGGAGGTGCTTCTAAAGAACTATAAGCACTGCGGTGTAGGCTCGAGCCTTCGGGGATCATCATGGTCACCCTAGAAGGCAAGAATCCCAATTTAGGGATGACCCTAAACCCACCAGGTTGTTCACTTTGTCAGCCCTTCAAACCATGCCAATCCTTTTTAATTAAGCTATTTTTCTACCACGGGAACACACTTTACAAAGAGCTGAAAATGTGTGGACAACTGAGTTTTAGCAATACAATGTGTTAAAGAAGTCCAATAAAATATATTTTAGATCGTGCACATTTCATTTTACATGTATCTAGCTGCACATGCCTAGCTAGTATTTCTTGTAATCAAGTCAATTGCTGGCTTGGTCATTTTGCTAGCTAGCTACATCAAGACTAACATACTTAACATGTGTTAACTTGTGTGTTACACATGCATAGATATATATACATTAATGATGGAAATTGCCTTTTCTGATCCACAATGAAAAAATATGGACAATGAACTCAAGCAATCAGTTTTCCATATGCAAGCACCTATATATACTAGCTAGTATACTTCTTAATTAACATGACAGGATAGTCATTTCATGAAGCTAAGCCACACCACTCTACTACTGTATATATGGGTGAGCAATAATATTCACCAACTCAAGAATCACTTTTCTCTATATATAAATTTCATTAGTTCATTCTGCAAGCACTAAGAATATATCAGCGTTACTGGTTAGTAAGATTAATAAATATACAGCACTCCCAAACAACTAGCAAGATTCAGCTCAAGAATTTAAATAAGCTCGCTTGGGATACAAAATGGTAGTAGTAGTAGCTGTAGCAGCTAATAAATCTAACACAGTGAACGTTTTCGTTACTACTCCCTCAGTTCCAAATCCAAATTGTTGTAGGTGTGTATGTTTTGCTATGCGCCTAGATATATATTAATGTCTAGATACGAGGTAATAAAACTATGTATCTTGAAAAGACAGAATGACTTAGAACATTTTTAATAAGGATTAACAAGATTAATAAAAACATATACTTTTAGTATTCTTTGTTCATGCACTGCTGGTTCAAAAGAATAAATTTGTATGTACAAACAATAGTTTCGAAGATCGAGAAAGTCAAAAGAGAATCAAACAGAGAAGGCCACCATAGTCAATATAATCGGAAGAGGAGGATATATCTACTTGTGGTAAAAAGAATACCTTGATAAGAATCCAGCTATAGCCTGCCTTCGGGAGGCGTGCATGGATCCTAGATCGACGATGCCGACGCGACGCCATATGATGAAGACGACGGAACGGGAAAAATTCATAACGAACAAGGAACGAACACCAAACAAGAAAGAAAGGAAAAGGCTAAGGCTAGAGGAAGCACGAATCAGATCAGGCCGGCGGCACGACACCGCCGCTGCCCTCGTCGCTGCCATCCGTGTTCTGCTGCTGCGACACCTCGGGGTGAGACTGGCCCGAGGACGACGGCGGCGGGGACTGCTCCATCTGGTACGTGAGCGCCACGGCCGTCTGCGCCTGCGACGGCGGCTGCTGCTGCTGCTGGAAGAGGAAGCCGCCCTCGTACGGCAAGGCGTCGGGCGGCACAACGGCCACCGTGGCGCCGCCGCCGACGCCGCTGCTCCCGGGCACGGCATGCGCGTAGACCGCGGCTTGCCGCATCATGAGATCCTGCTGCTCACGCGCGACCTCCACGGCCGCAGCGAGCTGCTGCTGCGCCTCCGCAGCGGCCATCTGCTGGTGGTGGTGGAGGTGCTGGTGCTGATGCACCATGATCTGCTGCTGGTGCGGATGGTGGTGACCGTGCTGCGGTCCGACGCCGACACCGACACCGACGGCGAGCCCCATGCCGGTGGCCGCCGCGAGAGGCACGCCGCCCGCGGCGTACTGGTGGTGGTGGTACTGCGGCGCGGCGACGAAAGGCGCGAACGCCGCTGGCCCAATGTAGCCCGCCAGCTCCTTGCGCGCGGCGGCGAGCTCCTCGCGGACCTGCTTGATCCTGAGCTGCAGGACGGAGATGTAGGAGACGCAGCCGTAGACGGGGTCACGGAGGCGCGCCTCGGCCTCATACGCCAGCGAGTTGACGGCGTCCTCCCGCTGCGCCTGCGGCAGCTCGTTGAGGAGCTTGGAGACGTTGCTGGCGCCGAAGACGCGGTGCACGCTGGAGAATTTGGCCGGGTTGTCGGGCGGGAAGTAGGGCGCGAAGACGCATCCCTGCGTGCACTTGCGCCGCAGCAGCTTGCACGCGGCGCAAGGCGAGTTAGACGACGACATCGTCCTGCCTCGCCGCCGCCAGCGGGACGACGGCTCCTTCGATTCCTCCTCCTCCTGTATCCGCTGGCATACAGATACGTAGAAATGAGTACTGGGGTGATCGAGATCGGTGGAGCCCTGGCATCGGATCAGCCAACATGCGCCGCCGCATGTCGTATGGATCCAAGGAAAGGAAGAGAGAGGGGGATTTGGACGGATTGTTCCTCCGCCGCGGGACTTGCTAGGGCACGCACACGCGCATGATTCTTACCGAGGGACGACGAAGAAGGGATCACTTCATGGCGGGCCGGAGGGATCTCCACTCCACGACGCGCGCGCGGCAGTGCAGGAGGCGGCAGGGGCGGCGAGCGAGGAGGACGCGGTGAGGGAGAGAGAGGGAGATGCGTGATCTGGAATTCTGGGCGGTCCAGAGCGCTCCAGGAGTCGGGGTCGTTCGTGGGGAAGAACCGAAGAAGGGGAGGAGGGGCTGGGTTGGGTTGGGGTTGCACCGACTGATCGATGGACCACACGGACGTGTGGGCCCGGGGTAGTTGAGGTTACGAACTAGCCATTCAAAATGCTGGCCGTACAATACCAAGTTTATAGGCCGGCATCTCAACTGAACTGATCGTGGAAGTTAAAATCACAACAGAACGGTGAACAAATCACACTATTTTCAGAGTTGTCTTAATAAGTCAAACTTTTCTGGATTTGACTGAATTTTTAGAAGAAGAAAAAACATCAAGATTTATGATACTATTAGTATTATTAGATACACCATAAAATATATTTCTTGATAAACTTATTTGATGCCATATATATTTGTGTATTTTTCTATATTTTTGTCAAACATAAAAAAAGGTTTAACTTAGAATATATAACTTTAGCAGTTGATTTATTCAGAGGCCGAGGGGATACAATTATACAAATAATCTCTGGAGTAACTGGTTTCTTTGTTTCTAGTAAAATTCTATATGAATAAAATATAAATTTCAGGGCTAGATTTGGAATATCATTTTTTGTGACATCATTTTGGGATGAAACAACTATTTTCTCATCTATATGAAGTATTTTTTTATATTTATAGCATTAAGTTGGCATATATCCAATTATATATATAGTTTGTTTTCCTGTTGTTGGTTTTTTTGCTCACAAAAAATTATTATATACTACATAAAATTGTTGTTCTATCCCATATATGATTTGGTCTGACACGCATGGTTTGAATTTTCTGATATGCAAGCCCACTAGGCCAATCTTGGCTTTTACCTTACATGTACCATTCTTGCATACCCATTAGAATTGGCGTGATCATCCCATGCCTGTGCTGACTTTTCTCCGATGAACGCCACAGTAGGCTCAGAGAGCTATAAGCTAAACCTTGCCATTAAATGGATTGGTACATAAGTAAGGTTTTACATCCAAAGATTTTGTGCAATACATGCAATATATATTAGAGGTACCCACGTAGGGAGAAAAGAGAAACAACACTATAGAAGGCTACGTTGAACAACCTATATACATGTCTGACATGTCCCCAAGATCGGAGTTCATCCTTGAAGCGGCCCAGTGCCAATTGCCCTAATTAGTAATCCCGACTATACATACTAGTACGTGGCGCGCGCCCTCATGCGCGTCGTACATGGGCGAGCAATAGATAATTTTTACTGGGACGTGGTACGTGGACATGTCAAAAGATAAGTTATGAAGCTAGAAACATAATACATTATTATATACAACTTTACATACAAGCATGTAGTGTTACTGGGATCATAGATTATGTAAGCACAGTGTGGTATAACATAGTGACATAGTAGGAGAAAGAAATAGATAAGTTTAAGGTCCCATGTGCATACGGTGTCATTGTTTCTCAATGATCTTGGAAGAGTCAATTTTAAATTTCTAGCATAAACAGTACCACGATATTGATAACAAGCTGAGGGAGCAATTCCATATCACCACTAATCTTTGAATATACATACAAATAAATATATATGGCTGATGATATGGTGATAACATCAGTATGGCATAAGAAAATTTGAACATATTTGATTTCTCTAAGTTCTAAGATGCAGGTGTTGGCCTCTTTATTTTTGTCAGTGTTTATGAACTCTTGGCATCCTTCTATGTCAGTGATTTGTGCACTTGGAGGAGGAACCTGTAATCATAGATATTTGCTTTATTCTTTAATATGTTGCATGAACACGAATCATTAGGCAAAACATATCATTTTGCACACAGATTTAACTAAATAGCAAGGAAAACACTAAGTAGGATAGCTTACTGAGGAAAGCCAACCCAGAACACCACATCTGCTTTCTTCTCTACATATGTGGGCCCATGAGCATCCAAACCCTGGCATAATATAATAGTAGGATTAAGCGGGCATGAAATCAATAGAAGGAACATATGCTTGATTAGTGTTACCATACTCTACTAAGGTAGTGCTCTTGTTATCCATCTTATTCCAGCTTTTGTTATCAGGAACGGATCATTGGCTGAACATCTAGAACCCTTGCATAATATATTTGGGCTAATTGACCATGCAACCAACAAAAAGAAGATATGGATAATTATCTACTATTACTTGTTTATCTAAATTACTTCCAGGAGGCAGCGCCATTATTATCCACATTGCTGTAGGATCAGAAGACAGATACATATCACTACCTAGACCATATTGATGTAGACCTGTAACACCCTAAATTTTGCATATTTTTGAAATAGGAGGAAATGATTAATTATGCATTTTTGTGGGAATTTTAATTTAGGAAAAATAATAATTTTTATCAAATTAAAATCAAATATAGGTCAACGACCATGAGTGTGCATTCATGCTGCTGCATAATAATTTTTGAGTTGGTGTGATTTGAAATCAAACCTCAAATTGTTTTGAATTTGTATTTGGAAATTGCTTTGGAATATTGGAAAAGGAAAATAAGCTTCTTTCTCCTTCCTCTGTTTTCGGCCCAGCTGGTCGGCCTGCCCTCGGCCCGTTTCTTTCCCATCCCAGGCCGCTGCTCTCCCTTTCCTTCCGCTCGGGCCGAAGCCCAAGTCGGCTTTTCTCCTTCTTCCGCGCCGCATCGCACGGCCCAGCCGAGCGCCCGGCCCAGCAAGGTCGCGCCGCGCCCGCGCTCCTTTTTTTTCCTCCGGCCGCTGACCGCCCTGGCCCACAGGTGAGGGGCTTCTTCTTCCCCTCACGTACCTGGGCCGGATACCTCCGCCGCCCCGACGCCGTGTCCAGTGCCGCCACGGTTCCCCGTGATGCCGTGACGCCCAAGAACTCCGCCCGCTTAAATAGCCGCCTCCTCCGCCTCTCTATCCTATCTACCGCAAGTTTTTTTTCGCCCACGCAAGCCGCAGCCACGCCTCGCCCTAGCGCCGCCACGACAGTCACCGACCACCGAGCACCGCGCCGCCTCCGTCGCTCCTCGCTAGCTCCGCTTGGGTCCGGTGAGTCCGCCGTCGCTCCATCTATCTCCCGGGCCTTTTCTTTCGTCGAACCGAGCGCCGTAGACCGGAAGCCGCAAGTTCCAGTGAGCTCTCCAATGGCGCCGCCGTCGGCCACCCGTCGCCGGTCCTGTTCCGACGGCAGTGTTTTTTTTTCCACCGCCAGATCCAATCCTAGCCCTCCAAGTCTAATCCAACGGTTCCAGATCCAAGATACCCCTTCGCCGCCAGTTTTTCAAAAACACCATTACAATTATTTCAGCCTTAACCCGCAGTCCAAAGCGTATTTTCAGATTCCGTTTTTTTCTTTTAAAAGCGTATTTTGGTTCGATTAGATTGAAAATACGTTTTCAGTTATTTACAGTTTTGCCACTCAACTTGTTTTAGCCATAAAATCTCCGTTTTAACTCCGATTTGGTCTGTTCAAGTTGCGTTAGGTTCGTAATTAAGTGTTCTACATGTTTATGCTACTGTTAAGTAGGTTTCCAACTTTTAAAATTCGAGATTAGATTTAATCTATTATTTTACTAAAGGAAAACTTGTTTAATTCATAACTTTTCCGTTTTATCTCCGATTTTTGTGATCTTCGCGTCTGTGTGTTCGTAGCGAGATGTAGATTCGTTTTCCAAACTTTTCATCTTGATTTTATGCTGTTGGTGTACTGTTCTAATCTATAGCTTTGTTTGCTTTGCATGATTGCTCCTGAATGCTTGTATGTTGCTGTGGTTATCGAGTATAGACGGTGATCAATTCGTGGGAGATCAAGGGTACGACTTTGACGAGCAGGACAAGCAGGAGTACTTTGCTCAAGGCAAGTATAGCATGGGATCATCCTTGTTTCCTATTCACTTTAATTCATTAAATTCATGTTGCATGTGTCACCTTGATAGGGATTTCCTAGAATTGATCTATTACCTTGTCACCTATGGGTTATGCATTTGGGTAGCTTTGCTAGAGCTCAATTAAACCATGATCTTGTAACTTGACTAATGGTATATGCAATAAACATTAAAATATGACTTTTTAGCAACATGGAAATAGGGGGCTAGAGTGTTTAGCTACTTTCTAAATGCTTCAGATTCCTCTCCCTAAGGACTTATCTGTAAGTGATCATCCAGGACTTACAGTACAGCTGTGAGGGCTACATGGCTCTGGCTTTAACTCAGTATGAGGACCTTTTCTAGCTTGTTAGTGGTTACCTTTATTGGCGTAAGAATGGATTGCTGAATCGGGTATAGGACATCCTCTACTCTTATGTTTATAGCCGCGATGGAATTGTGCCATTTGACAGGGGGGTTCCTATATCTGTTTGCCAAGTGAATCTAATGGCCCTAACTTGTTAGATGAACCTTTGAAAGGCTTCATAGTGACCCCTGCCTTCTCACATTGGAAGTGTTTTGGGAGTAATTAACCCAGGCATATGGGTATCACGACTCACAGTGAAAGCGTACAACCTCTGCAGAGTGTAAAACTGGTATATCAGCCGTACTCACGGTCACGAGCGGCCTTGGAACATTGACGAAATAGATGAACACTAAGAATTATCTGTTTATGCTATTCATTAATCATGT